CATGCAGGAGAGACTTGAGGGCAGTGTTAAATTGCTGCCAATGACCAAACAGATGTCTCATGTGTCACTCCTTGACCTCCAGTCTGAGGATCGTGGGTTGGCTTACTCTTCAGCAGTGCATGCATCATGATCAGTGGTGATAGACACTGGCCTCTAGAACCTACCTGACCCTTGATCACTTGTCTCTGGAAGGATTTCTCCCTTATTTTCAATCACAATCCTTTCAAGCAAAAGGGGTATGAGCAACAGAGTTCTCTCATCCCTTGCTATCCTATCTGGGAGAAAAGACATGGGACCCAAGTAGAGCTGGTATATTATGCCCTTTCTAATTTAGCCAGAAAGCTATCTACAGTGTAGGATGAGTGTTCTGTAAGGCAAGTCACCTGGACTCTTCTTGGGGAACCTCACATTTGGATCTGGTTGAACTTATTTTGACAGCAGTCCAAGGAAAGGATGGTTCCTTCATCTAGGGCCATATTCAGAGGTGGTTCCACCACCAGAGATGCTTTTGAAAATGACCCAAAGCTTTAGATGGGATTTCTCTGACTTGTCATTCCTGTGTGGGATGAGGTTGAGACCACAACAGGTGATCTTCCATTTCTGGGTGTAGCTTAAATGCAAGGTTCTTACACATTGCCACATGTCAGTTGTGTGACAAATGTCAGGATCATTCTCTTCAGACTCACCACTTGGGTATGAGAATATTCCTAATGCTGAGCATGATAGCAGCTATTCAATATGCCTGTGATCTTGTTAACACAATGAACCCATTCTCTGTGTACCTCATTGCTTTTAAAGCACCTTGGGAGTGAGGCACATGAGTTGGTGGTTTGCCTCTCTGATCAGTTGCAGTCACCTCATCCCAAACTTGTTAGAGGAAAGGCCCTGGATGTCTCATCTTAATTACTGAAACTTGAAAGTTTGCTCCTCAAAAGATAGAACTTAGGGACTCATAAGTCTGTGTCAGGGTGCCTGAGTCACTATCACTGAGCTAGACGCTCTCCCTGCTCATCTCTGTAGCCATGGGATTCCTGTGGGTCCTGATCCTTTGAGCAAGTTGTGCCTAATAAAAGATGACCCTTGAAGACAGGGGATGCGAGGGTCCTGTGTTTTAAGGATTTTCCCACAATTCCCCCAGTAAACTTAGAAATAACCTTCAGTAGAGAGGATGATGGCCATCCTGTTGAAGGCTGCTGCTCTTTGTATATGCCATAACTCTGCAGTTGTAGCTTGTTATGTTTACAGTGACTCCAAAGACTACATATGAGCATTTTGAGGTAACTAAGATTGTGACTTGCTATCACCTCAGCTTCTACACTGACCATTCATGTGGCCTGTTGTGTCAGTTAGCGCATAAGGCCAGGAAGATGTTGACCAAGAGTGTTTCCTTCAGATAGGAAGAATAGTACCGTAGAATGTTGGTGTTTTCTGGAGACAGTGTTGTTTGAAGCATGATACTCACTGTTGCTTCCTAGTTGATGGAATTTTAAGTTTCCCTCCCTTGTCCACCAATTTTATCCAAGTTCTTGTTAGAACTTGCAGTGGGACACTTGGTATTTTACTGAGAACCGTACTTGGACTCAAGGTCAGCATTGAGTTCTTTACCTTTTCATCTTTGTACAATCCCAGTCCTCTTAACTGATTTTCTGTGAGGCACGTGGACTTAAGGTTCTCGAGTTATCTTAAGTATTTTGGCTCTTTGACACCTTTTCTTTCCCTGCTTGCCCTTGGGGACAAGTTTCCCAGTAAACATGACTTTAAAAACTCTAAGAAGGTATAAGGTAGTCTGAATTACAGGGTATAAGAAACACATGGAAACTAGGATAGAAAACTCAGCCTCCTGTAATAGATAGAAGGCAGGTGGGGTTACCTCAGTTCACACCTAAACATCAGCACCTCTGTCCTTGTAGTAGTGACTTGAATTATTCACATGTGACACTACTGCAACGAAGACATTTTGAGTCCATCAACTGAGGTTGGATACTATAGACTTATGTGAAAGGTACTTGGGTATCACCTGTAACAAATGTGAATCTCTCCCTCACCCTGGCCTTAAGGACTTAGATACTGATTGGCTGTAATTGCTATTCTAAGCCTTTTAAGTCATGTCTGAATTTTTATACATTGCAGTAGCAGTATCCTATGTGGGCAAGAGAAAATGGCAGTGAAGACTTTCCTGTTAGGAAGCCCAATTACATAGGAATGTGCCTGTGTTATCCTCTGTGGTTGCTAGACAGTATCGCAAGGAACATCCTGATGCAAGAGTAGAACTTTTCCAACACTTATTATCGTGTGAACTGTAAGAGCCAAACAGACACCTTCATAGTGGATATACATGTGGAAACACGGGAAGTTCCTCCTAGTAGTGATAGAGAACTAGGAATATCTGAAGAGACTGACCGTGCTAACTGATTCACTATAGTGTCCTTGTGGACAACATCCTGTCGCACCTGCTGTGCAGCCTGCATCCGAGAATGTAGCGAGGTGGTCGGGATAGATGACAGAGACCGGTAGGTTGCTTTAAGAAAACCTTATGCTTCCCCAGTCAGCTTAGGAGACCCCAAGTCTGCTTAGGAGAGCAGTCTCTCCAAGAAAAAACGCTTCCCTTTTTAAGGACTTTCTGCCATCTATCTACATACAATTCTCTAACACTCCCAGACTTCTCACCCTCCTGGCTGGTGGTTTAATCTCTGGCCCCAGCATCGGGGAGAAACAGCAGGGGGGACAGGAAGAAGCATCTAGCCATAGGGGGTGTCAAAGTCATGGTGTTTCAGTTAGCAAGCCCTTATCTGAGCCCTATCAAGAGCTTTATAGCACTGAATTGTTTTCAGTAAACATTATCTCACAGCTGCCTGCTCCCAGGCCGAAGGGGAAGTGGGTCTCTGTTCAAGGTCTGGTGTCCCCACCAGAAGCGGGGATCTAAATATGGTTGTCTTTAAGTCGGTTACTATTGGTTGTGATGAAACACAATGGACAAAGTAACTTGGTGGGAGGAGAGTCTATATGTCACATCAATGCATCACCAAAGGAAGAGCATAGGAATTGAGCCGGGCAGGAATTTGGATGCAGGAGTCGATGCAGGAGGTCATAGAGGAGTGCTGCTTACTAGTTTTCTCCAGTATTTCTCAGCCTGCTTCTAGACCCCTGGACCACCAGACTGGGGATGGCACTATAGCCCCCTGATAAGGCTGGGCCTTCATCAATCACTAAGAAAATTCCCTACAAGCTTGCCTGTAGTCTGATCTCTCCCTCTCTGACTTTATCTTAATGTCTGACAAAACTTCCCACCTTGATTGACCCCTTTGCAACTTGACACACAAATACATCACAATTAAACTGTCCTTGTTCATCCCCCACGATATCACATTAAAAACTTAAAATCCAAACTTTACTAATTCAAACCACTGAGTCTGTCTTTAAAATAGCCAATCTTATCCAGGCGTTGGTGGCACACACCTTTAATCCCAGCACTTGGGAGGCAGAGGCAGGTGTGGATCTCTTGAGTTTGAGGCCAGCCTGGTCTATTAGAGTTCTGGGACAGCCTCCAAAACAATACAGAGAAACCATGTCTCAAAAAACCAAAAGCCAATCTTTTAAATCCAGAGTTCTTAACTTATGGGCTCCCTGTAAAATCCTAAAGAGGAAAAAATCCAGGGCACACAGTCACAACCAAATCAGAACCAAACTCGAAGTGTAAACTCAATGTCTGGGATTCACTCAGTCTTCTGTGCTCCTTAAAGGGGCTTGTATCGCTTCTCCAGCTCTGCCCTCTGCAGCACACTCCAATTGTCTTCCAGGCTCTGCCTGGGTCCATTCCACTGATGCTCCTGTTCTTGGTAGTTATGCTTTGGGTACAGGCATCTCAAATCCTGGGGTCTCTTCTGCTGCAATTTGGGTTTCTCCAATACCCTCTCAGTGTTGCTGCATGATGTCAAACATCAGCTACTCTTGCGACCTCTTCATGCCTTCAACCCAGAACTACCTGGGTGACTTAACACTACCAAGTTTGTCTGCCAGCATTGAGGTATTGAGGTACAGCCTTGGCCACTCCTGTAACACAGCCTCTGTGCTGACTCTAGGGAAACACTTGTAGAAAATTTTGCCTCTGCTGCTGTTTTTTTTTCATTCTTTATATCCTCCTCATCCACTCCATTTCTCTTCAGAAAAGGGCAGGCCCTCATATGTGGATACCAACCAGCCATGGCATAACAAGCTGCAATAAGACTAGGTGTCTGTCCAGGCTGGAGTAGGCAAGTAAGGAGTTTCACAAGAATACCAAGCTACACAACTGTAACATGTATGCACAGGGCCTAGGTCAGTCCAAACAGGCTCCCTCGTTGCTGGTTCAGTCTCTGAGCCTCTATGAGCTCAGGTTAACTGGTTCTGTAGATTTTACTTATGTCCTTGACCTCTCTGAATACTATAATCCTTCCACCGTCTTACACAAGACTTCCCAAGATGGACCTAATATTTAACTCGATCTCTCCATCTATTACTATCAGTTGCTGGATGAAGCCTCTCTGACAACCGGGCTAGAGTACCAATCTGAGTGTATCAGAATATCATTAGGGAATATGACTAGGAATTATTTCATTGACTTTTGTCATGTTTGGTTCTATTCTACATCTCTGGACTATCCTACCCCTCCCGGTCCTGGCCGCCCTCCAGGAAGTGTCAGGGGTGGACTCCCTCTGGTGTGGGTCTCAAGCTGGACCAGTCACTGGTTGGCCACTCCACAATTTCTGCACCATCTTTTACCCTAGCCTATCTTATGGGCAGGGTAAATTGCAGGTCACAGGTTTTGTGACTGGGATGGTGTCCCAATCTCACCACCCGAAGTCTTGCCTAGTTATAGGAGATGGTTCCTGCTTGGTGTCCCCCATTGCTAGAAACGTTTGCTAGGATTATTCAGATTCTGTGAAGTTTCCATCTCTCTCCTGAAATGCCTCTCAGTTCGTCATTTCTCTCAGTATTTTCTCCCCCCCCCCACACTCCCTCCTGATCCCAGCCCCACCTGCCCCCCCCCAGTTCACCCTCAGAATCTTATTTCCCCTTCCCAGGAAGACTCTCGTATCCCCCATTTAAGCCTTCCTTGCCACTTAGCCTCTGTGGGTCTGTGAATCATGGTGTGGTTTTCTTACAGCTATAATATCCACTTGTGAACACATAACCATGTTTGTCCTTCTGGGTCCCCTCACTCAGGATGACTTTATGGGTCTCATAACTGCTAATTTCTCAGCTCCAAATTTTGGCAAAATGTCTCAGTATTGATTGTCCCAGTAAGACAAAGGGCTTACTATATATAGCACTTCTGGTCTCTTGTTAACTTAGTCAACTATTAAGCCCCATCTAAAACCATAGAATTGTAACTTTAACAAATGGCCCCTATAGACTTTAAGTTTCCTCAAATTTTGCAAGTCAGGCCTTTATCTTCTGCACTGCCCTGGATGTTCTTTTCTTTAATTTTTATGTGCATTGTTTTACCTGCATGTCTATCTGTATGAGGGTACAGTTGTAGCTGCCATGTGGGTCTTGGGAATTGAACCCAGGTCCTCTGGAATAACAGCTAGTGCTCTTAACCACTTAGCCATCTCCAACCCCTATTGTCTTCCATGCTCCTAAAATAACCAATCTCATTGAGTTCTCAGCACTAAATGGCTTTTTCTAGTTCAAGGCCTCTCCAAAACATTCAGGTCTGTCATAGAAATACCATACTATCTTGGTACCAACTTAGTTAGGGTTACTATTGCTATGATTAAAAATCATGATGGAAGAATCTTGGAAGAAAAGGATTGATTGTTTCTACTTCCACATCACAGATCATCGGGGATGGAAGTCAGAGCAGGAACCTGGAGGCAGGAGCTGATGCAGAAGCTATGAAGGGTGCTTTTACTGGCTTGCTCCCCATGGCTTGCTCTTACAGAATCCAGGACCATCATCCAAGGGATGGCACCACTCAAAGGCTTGGCCCTTCCATCAATGACTAATCAAGAAAATATCCTATAGGCCTGCCTACAACCTGATCTGATGGAGGCATTTTCTCAATTGTGAATTGGCAAACCATGCACACAATTGTTGTGGACAGAGTCCTACAGACACATGAGGTAACATAGCATAGCGTCTGGGGGGTGTAGCCTTTCTGGTCACCTCCAAGGAAATGGAATAGTGGTCTATGAAGACAAGACAGCTCTTCATCAACTCAAGTATCTTCAGAGAAAGATCCCACCTGTCCTTCTGAAATAGCAGCCTGCATGTAGAGGAGTCCTGAGGGCAGTGTTGAATTGCAGCCAATGGGATGTGGCTGAGACGCATCCCCTTTAACACTACTTGGTGTCGGGTCTGAGAATCGGGCTAGCAGACTCTTCAGCAAGACCAGTGGATGGGACAGATCAGCACCTGGAACTTACCTGCCCCACGGAGTCCTAAATCGCATGTCTCTGGCAGGAGAATTTCCTTTTTAATCATGATTGTTATAAGTACAAGTGGGGTTTGAGCCAAGAGGCAGTGGCTGGCAGGTTTCCTCACACATCTAGAAGACAGGACAATAGGGCAGAAGTACCCCAGCTCTACCTGAGTCCTTTTCAATCTAAGCCAGAAAATATAGGATTGAATGTCCTATAAGGCAAGTCACCTAGACTAATTTTCAAGGATACTCACATTTGGATCAACTTGAATGTTTTGATTAATGAAGATGGTTCCTTTAGGGCCACATACAGAGGTTGTCCTATGACAGGTGCTGAAATGACTAGGAGGTTGCACTGAGCTTTCCATGACTTGTCATTCCTGTGTGGGATGACATTCAAGATGGCACAGATCCTCCATTTCAGTATTGACCTTAAACTTCCATGTTCTTGCTGACTGTCAGGAATGGAACGAATGTCACCCAATTCTCCAGGTTTTCATCCTTCAGTCATGGGTGATATTAACACTGTAATCCATAGATGGGAATAACCTGATGCTCTGCATGATAGCAGACATTCAATATGGCCATGCCTTGGAAAACAATGAACCTGTTCTCCATGGTATCACATTGCTTTAGGGTACCTTCATATGTGGCATTTGGATTGGGGTTTTTGCCTCACCTTTGTGAGAAATTGCAGTGACTAGACATTTAGGGACTCCTGTCTGGAGTCTTCTCAGATCTTTGACTTAGAGTCACACCCGGTCACTTTCTCAAGTAGGGCACATTTCCTGCATGCCTCTATCCTTCACTGGGCCTTTCTCGCATGGCATGCCTCTATCCTTCACTGGACCTTTCTCGCATGGCATGCCTCTATCCTTCACTGGGCTTTCTTTGCATGTGAGCCCCACACTTGAGTTGTCAAAGGGCTGAGCGCTGTCCCTGAACTAAACAGGACTGCTAGACTTGATTAGACATTCATCTACTCCAGTTCTGAGACTTACTTTGCGTTTCTAGCAACTTCATTATTGGTCTCCTAGCTTGACCTGCTCCACAGAAGATAGGACTTGGGGACTAATGTTTATCAGTACCTGAGCCACTGAGTAGGATACTGCATTTCTCATTATCCCTGTAACCATGGGAATTCCCATGACTCCTGGCCATTGTGCAAGACTTGTTTAAAGGCCTGTCTTTGCAGACAAGCAATTTACTGAGAGGTCCTATGAGTGTTAGCAATGACCTTCCCAATAAAATGCCTCAAAGATCCTATAAACTTCTCCATCAGTAGAGGTGATAGCAATTATTAAAGGACTGCTACCCTTTACACAAGTCAGAACTCTGCACTCCCATGAAGACTCACAGCTTATGTCTGCATTGAGGACTCCAAATACTAATGTGCACATTTAAGACCAATGTTTCTATAACCTCAGATTTGCCCCATTTGCATTGCTTGTCAGATTGTCACATAGATCAGGAGGACTTTGGCCAAGAGTCCTGCCTTCAGATGGGAAGAACACACATGAAATCTTGCAAGTGTTCGCTGGACAGTGTTGTGGGGGTAAGGCATTGAGGGTCATTGTGACTTTCTAGTTGAAGTTTTAAGTCAGTTTCTACATCAAAGTTTTGTTATACCTTGCAGTGGAGAACACTTCAGGAAGTACAGTGAGAACCACACATGTCCACTCACCGAAGATTGTCTTTTCTCTTAGATGCCAATAAAGGAAATAAACCCTCTGCCCAGAGTCGAGGGAGAAAGTGGCTAAGAGGCTAATTGTAAAGTTCATCTGGTATGAGAGACTTGGACACTGTCATGCATGTAGCAGACATTCTTACAGAGAGGACAAGGCTTCCCCATGTGGTTCTTCTTGGAACCATCACTTCTGGATTAGTGTATACCTGCCCTTGATTTCATCAACCTATACATGCAACCCTGGGCAGGGGAGCCTATGAATCCAGAATAACTAGCTTCCTGGGGGTGATGCTTCCATACTTAAAGGGGACACCTATTTCCTACTGTCATGCCTTTCTCCAACAGAGCTATGAGTGTCATGCAGAGAATGCTCTTGGCTACTTTGCCCACCCTGGTGTCAGGGATTGCAATGAACTTCTAGGTATACCACAAGAATCAAAAGAACTTGGCAACCTTCTAGAATATATCTATGGAGAATGGCAATTCGGCATTTTAGTGGACCCAGAAAATCTTATTTAAATCTTATTTGATTCAATGAGAGATATCTTGGTGCATATGAACTTGAGTGCCAGGAATTAGCAATGGTGTGGTCTGAAATGGTCTCTGGATTAACTTAGTTTTTAACTTAAAACTTACAGGTCCCAATTCACTCTCCCTCCTGTCCCCCCATTTCTCACACCATATCCCCATTGCACTCCCATCCAGAGGGTGAGGCCTCTCATGGGGATCATCAAAGTCTGTTAAATCACTTGGGACAGGACCTAAGGCCCTCCCCTCTGCATCCAGGTTGAGCCAATGTCTCCCTCCATAGGGAATGGGCTCCAAAAACCAATTCATGCACTAGTGGCAAATACTGGTTCCTCTACCAGCAGCCACCATAGGCTGCCCAAGCCCCCCAACTGACACCCAAGTTAAGGGGGGCCTAGTTCAGTCTTATGCAGGTTCCCCAGTTCTCAGTGTGGAGTTTGTGAGCTCCCACTTGGTCAGGTCAGCTTCTTTAAGCTTTTTAAGCATCCCAGAAACGAGCTACACAGAATTAGGTGTGGGTTTGTCTACAGGCCTGTGGAGCCCTTTTTCTAAGACTGACTTCTGGTCGGTCTTGTCTTGGCTCATCCACTCCTAAACCTCTACAACTAGTGAGCTGAGTACCTTCATTGCAGGATTCAAAGGTGTTGATCTCAAACCTTTTTAACTCCTGTACCATCCCCAAAGGATTCAGTCTTTGTGTCAATGCAAGGTTGAAGTTGAGCTGTCATAAGGATCAGAACTTGGCTGTTTGAGATCAAGATCCAAGAATCTGAAGGGTTAATATCAAGAAAATCCATCTTGAGTATTTCACCCCTCTACCAAATTCTTGCTGCAAAACTGTTTTCAATTCCCTCAGACCGAGTCTGACTCTGCAACCGTAAAATGCAGGTTCTGGGCCTGCTGTCTTCCTAAAGCAATCAGTTAGGAACTTTCTCCCCAGCTACAGCAATATTCACTTTCTCCCCAGCTACAGCAATATTCACATCTCAGAAGGTCAGTGCGGCCCTACCCTTGTAGAGTCCATGATGGCCAAAACTGAATGGAGATGGAATGTGTATTGAGGTGGATTTCTTCAGATGCCCACACAGGGTAACCTGATCACCTGATATGCTACTAGGAGCTCTGGTACCTGTTCCACTGGAAGAAGGAAATTTTACTAGTCTCAAGTTGAGCATCCTGCAGCTTAAGTTGTGACTCATCTGTGAGCACAGGGTTAACCTTCTGACACCTGTAAGGGTGTATCTGCTTTAACACTTGGATTTGAGGTGTAGAGGAGTAGTTCCATAATTGCCGGAATTTGTGATAGGAGTTACAATCCAAAGATGAGCAGCTCCATGGACACCCTTTCCAGTTCATCGGGACAGGGAGCTTCTAAGAATCAAGCAGTCTTGCGAACTGAGGCAACGCTTACCCTTTCAAAGGGTTATGGGCCCTTAGGTTTCAAGTTCCATCTAGATACTCTCACTGTAGAGTCCTGTGTTGAAGTTACTGCCACCAGGCAGATGAGCTCATGGCTTTCTATTTTAGACTCAGTGTTCAAGACATAGGTAGAACACAAGTAGGTAATCTTTCATACTGAGGCCTAGTTCCAAAGAGTCCCTGATCCTTTCAGGGTTATACTATCCAGCTCTCCATGCTGGAAAATGAGAATTCTGATGGGAATAGAAGCTCTACCCAGAATGTCCCTTGATCTTTCCTCGTGGCGTTGGTGGCACACGCCTTTAATCCCAGCACTTGGGAGACAGAGGCAAGAGGATCTACAGAGCAAGCGCCAGGATAGGTTCCAAAGCTACACAGAGAAACCCTGTCTTGGTGGTTTTTAAAAGATCTTTCCTACACTGACTTTTTCTAGCTCAAAGTGCCAATTCACACACCTGTTCACCAATGTTTTCACCGCATGGTTAGGTTCATCTGAACACAACTCCACTCCTAGTAACAATCTTATGAGGTACATGGCCTTAGGATTCCCAAAAGAAGTTTCCTTGACCATTTCCTTTGGCTAGTTGTCACTTCTATTCCAAGCACGAGTAGGGAAGGAAAGTTTCCCAATAAAAATGACTCTTCTAACCCCAACAAGGTGTAATAGGTGACTTGAATTCCAAGGTATAAAACACCTGGAAGCTAAAAGAACTGGACCACCTGTAATGGGTAGACTTAAAGCCAGGTTGGTACTTTCCTCTTGCCTAGATATACAACACCCCCCCACCCCTTGTAGTTGGAAACAGCTAGCAAGCATCTTCCCTATGTCACATACTGTGTGCTGGCAAGACATTTGACTCCAGCCTGACAAAGAGCAATACAGCAGCTGAACTTGATACTGTATTTGGACTTCTGCGAAACCTGGACAAAGTCCTACAGACACGTGGGGTAACGTAAGATGACCCTTTGAGGTGTGTGGCTGTCCTGGTCATCTTTAAGAAAAGTGGATTGGAGTGTGCTATGAAGTCAGAAGTCAACTCAAAGTGTCTTCACCACAAGGTCCCATCTGTCCTCTGAAATGGGGGGGGCCTTGCATGCAAGAGGCTTTGAAGGCACTGTTAAATTGAAGTTGATAACCAAAGAGGGATGACTCTGTGCCATTACTTGGTCTCAGGTCTTAAAATTAAGGAATGACAGTCCATTCAGCATCACATATGTGGATTGATGGATGATAAAAATGGGAACCTAGAACCAACCTGTCCATGGAGCCCCTTGATCATGTCTCTGGCATGAGCATTTTTTTCTTAAATCACAATTTTTCCAAGTAGAAGGAATTTGGGCAAGAGATAAGTTCCTCATCCCTCACTATCCTGAGAGAAAAGACATAGGGCATAATATACCAGATCTTCTTGAGTCCCTCTTAATTTAGCCAGAAAGCATCCACAATGTAGGATGAGTGTTCTGTAAGACAAGTCACCTGGACTATTCTTGGGGAATCTCACATTTGGATCTGGTTGAACTTATTTTGACAGCAGTCCAAGGAAAGGATGGTTCCTTCATCTAGGGCCATATTCAGAGGTGGTTCCACCACCAGAGATGCTTTTGAAAATGACCCACAGCTTTAGATGGGATTTCTCTGACTTGTCATTCCTGTGTGGGATGAGGTTGAGACCACAACAGGTGATCTTCCATTTCTGGGTGTAGCTTAAATGCAAGGTTCTTACACATTGCCACATGTCAGTTGTGTGACGAATGTCAGGATCATTCTCTTCAGACTCACCACTTGGGTATGAGAATATTCCTAATGCTGAGCATGATAGCAGCTACTCAATATGGCTGTGATCTTGTTAACACAATGAACCCATTCTCTGTGCACCTCATTGCTTTAAGGCACCTTGGGAGTGAGGCACATGAGTTGGTGGTTTGCCTCTCCTTTGTGATCAATTGCAGTCATCTCATCCCAAACTGAAGACATTCACGGTCTTCCCCTTAAAGTCTTAAATGATACAGGGTGTCACTCTAAACCAAGTATGGAACACTGCCTACGTGTTTGGCACCACTTGGCACCTTAATGGAGCCGGAGCTGAATAGCTTAGCTCTGGCCCTGAACTGGATGTAGGCTGCTGGGCTTCATTATAGACCCTTTGTCTATTACAACCCTCATTGTGAGATTTGTTTATAGCAATTTCTTCATTGGTGTTTCCTAAAGCGTGAAGACCTGCTCCTCAGAAGATAGGTCTTGGGAACTCACAAGCCTGTGCAATTGAACATACTTAAGTAGACCAGAGAATACTCTCCTGTTCAATGAAATAAGGGGTACAGACATCTTGGTGGATGGGCATGAGTGGCCCTCATTTTATCACTGGTGTGGTCTGAAATGGCCTCTGGATTAACTTTAACCATCACAGAAACCATAGCTATGCAGAAACTAGGTGTGGGCTCTTGCCCGCAGGAGTAGGGCAGTCTCTCTTTTCTAAGACACCAGCAATCAGGTCTTGTCTTGTCTGCTCCTAACCCTCAACCGCTGTGTGGAGTACTTGAATTGCAGTACTCAAAGGTGTTGCATCTCAAACCTTTTTTTCCCCCCTCTGGACTACCTCAAAGAATTCAGTCTGTCAATCCAAGGTCAAAGCTCAGCTGTTAAGGATCAGATTGGCTGGTACAGAACAAGATTCACATCTTGAGTCATTATCAACCGGATTCCATTGTGTTTAAGTGTTTGAGTATCCCTCCCTTATTTTACTACCCAGTCTCCATCTCCTGATGTTCTTGATGTTTTTTTCAATCCCTCCTAAGTAGACCCCACTTACTGAGCTGAGTCTGCAACTCTGAATATCAGGTTCTGGTCTCCTTTAGGGAAGACAAGCAGTGTCTGTGAAAGGCACTTGGGTGTCACTTGTAACCAGTATGATTGCCACCCTCACTCTGGCCTTATGGACTTCATGACATGCCCAATGGATTTTTTTTGCTGTTAGAAGCCTTTTCAGCTTTCATGTCTGAATGTTTGACTGTTCACACAAGAGATGGCTTCTGCAATGTGTGTGAAGAGATGTGTTCAAGACATAATCGCAGTGAAGTTCATGTTGAAGGACCCAATTACTAAGAATGACCCTGAGTTATCTCCTCTGGTTGCCAAACAGGATCATGAGTATCTTGACTCAAGGTATAGACCATCTTCAAGACCTTCCTCATTCTCCCTGATGAGACTAAATAGTTAACTGAATGGTCATCTCCATGATAGAGGTTCATGTGGAACCCAGGAAGTTCTTTGCAGAACTGCTAGAGGATTATAAACCGCATCTGGAGACTGCTTCTCAGTGCCCTATCTTTATAGTGGCCAAGCTAATGGATTTAGTGTACTTGTGGGACATCCTTTTAGAAATGGGGCTAATGTGGTAGACTTGGATAAGCCCATATGGACTTATGGGACTTAATTACATGGCCTTTGTGTGTAGCCTCCTGGTCACTTTTAAAGAACTAGATTCATTTAAGGAATTGGATTAGAGTGTGCTATGAAGACAAGGGCAGCTCTCAGATCAATTCATCTGGAGTGTCTACAAGATTCCAGCTATCCATCTGAAATAGGGACTTTGCATGTAGGAGAGGCTTTTGAAGCCCATGTTAAATTGTAGACATTGACCAAAGGTCTGTCACTCCTTGGTCTCATATCTGATAATCATGGGATGACATTCCATTCAGCTGCACATATACCACGATTAGTGGGTGACAGATTTGCACCTGGAACCCACCTACCCATGGAGCCCTTTGACCACATGTCTGATAGGATTACTTTTTAATCATGATTGTCCCATGGGCTTTAGGGATGGTAACTGACTTCAACTGTCATAGTCCTTGGCTCACCTATCTGGACAGGAAGGACAATAGGGCAGATGTACATCCATATCTGCTTGAGTTCTTTAAAAATTAAGCCAGAATATTAAGTAATATGGATGTCCTATAAGGCAAGCCACCTTGCCTCTTGAGGGATGCTCACATTTCTATCTTACTGAATGTCTTGACCAATGATGGATTCATGATCTAGGGACACATGCAGAGGTGCTGAAATAGCTTACAAGGAGCTTTCCATGACTTGTCATTCCTGTGATGTTTTGAGACTCAGGTGATTGATCATTTAAGTGCCCACTTTAAATTCCCATGTGCTTGTCAACAGATGTCATCTGGGTGATAAGTATGTCGGAAAACTATCCAGATTTTCCTCCTCCATTCATAGGTGGTAAAATTGTAAACCTTGTATAAGAATATTCCTGATTCTGTGCATGACAGGAGCTATTCAACACTTGTTAACATGGACCAGTTTTCTATGTATCCTGTTGGATAAGGCACTTTGGGATGTCTGATTCTTCAGTGCTCCTACCCAGTTTTTAAAGCCACACACCTATAGTGTTGGTGTCAAAGGGCTGAGTTCTGCCCTTCAACTTGGCATAGGTTCTTGGACTTGGTTATATACCCTTGTCTTATAACCTCTTCATTGTAGGGTTGACTTCTTTCCTTGAGGCCACTGGGCTTGCTTTAAAACTGAGGATGTGACACTCAGAATGGGATAGGGCTTTGGAGATTCATAAGTCTATGCTTCAGTGTAGCTAAATGACTATCTGCCTCCATACTCCTCCTGATTGCCATGAGATCCCTGTGGGTCCTGCTCCTTTGTGTAAGACATGGCCAAAAGATGGTCCTTGTGCATTCAATTTCTCAAGTTCCCTGTGACTGTTACCAAATGACACCTCCCAGGTTTCTCCGGGGTCGAGGTGAGAACTACTCAGGATCCAGACTACTTTCAATGGAATTAAATGTGAGCTGGCCTCTATAGCAGGCAAGGCAGATTTTCTTCAAAAGGCATAACCCAAACTCTGGGTATCCAGCGCATTTCATGATTCCTGAGTGAATACAACTTACCTTGATGTCCACATGTGCATTACACTTACTGGGAGCCTATGACTCGGGAATGGCCACCCTACTTGGTTCATAGCTACTCATCTTTGCTTAGAAGGACATCTTATATTTTCTACAGGGGTGTTGGTCTCTGAGGAAGAGTGGACTGTTCTGGACATAATGTCTTTATAGCTGATGTATGTAGAAGGGAGAAGATTCATGTGATGGGGTCTATAGCTGAGCCAATGGGAAAACACCCCTATCCATTTAAAGATAGAAACAGCATCATATTCTTCTGGGACATTCCCAAAGAGAATGCTGATTAGGAATTTGTATGGCACCAAAAGAATTTGTTTAGTGAGATGAGGCTGATAACGGAAGTCTCTTGGGTATTCGTGCATGAGTGGCATGCATCTGTAACATGCATGCTACATCTTGGTGACCTTAACCTGTCAGACTCAGCCATACATGAATCAGTCATGCAGAACTAGACAAGGGAGGAGGCCATTGTCTCAAGAGTGGCTGGAGCCCCTTTCCTATGAGCTGTGACTCATACCTTTTTCCTGTCTCTCCTCACCCACTCCTAACCCTCTTCACTGGGCAAGCAGATCCACCTCCATTGCATAACCCACCATTGGTCTGTTTTGAAGGCTTCAGGAGAGGTATAGGTCAGCTTTCTCCAATGACACACCTAATTCTTTGCTTCATGATTATCATTTTGGAATTTATTGGGGTATGGTTTCTGGAAGAAGGGATATCTCTAGAGAAAAGACCAAGGCATCTCCAGAGGCATGCCTCCAACTTAGAAGTTACCCAGTCCTCCAGCAGGTTAGGGCTGTGGAGAAACCAGTCCTGCCTGTCTCTCCTTAAGGCTGAGCAGAATGGAGAGTGTAAATGACTCGGACCCTGCTCCAAGTCCCGACTCAGTGTGGTCCTCTCCAGGAAGACTTGTCAAAGCATAATCTCAATCTTTTTGCATCAGGCAGGTACTTATATAGTGCTGAAAAGTTGGATGGGAGTCTAAGGATGGATTAAGGGCCAATGACATTTTGCTAGGCCGAGGTAGCTTTAGGTTGGGTAGTGCTGAGTCACTCTCATGTGTAAATTACAGACCAAAAACAGGTCACCAAGCTGGAGTCAGGCTCAGGAAATTACATTAGGTCTCGTGTCCCAACAAGAAGGGTCTTCTTTCCAGTCCTGATAATGGTCAAGAGTTGACATGATCCAGCTATGGTCTCCTGTGCTGTTACTGTGTCCTATCTGATCTGAGAGCTCAGAAAAGTGTTTTGTCTTAACTAAGAATAATCCAACCTATTAACCTGATTGTGGTGTCCTGCCAGACAAATCAATGTGAGGACTGGCTCAGAAGTGGTGGTGAGTTGAGCTTCTTGGGTGGAGGTGGATGGGTAAGGACAGATGTGATTGGATGGGTATGGAGAAGGCATTTGTGCTAGGGACCACGTGAGAGTGGTATGTATAGCTGTCGGGTTGTGGGTAGCCTGGGAGGGCCCATGTTTTTATAGGGATGGGTTGGAAATCTTGCAAGATCAACACTTAATCCCTTTCTGGTGTTCAAGTCTTTAATGATGGAGAAGCCTGGCTGGTAGAGCAATGATGGGAAGAAGGCTGACTTCCTTCAGGCTCATCTCAAAGTGGGGGTGGGGTGTCTTACAAATCAAGGGTGTTGTGTTTTACCCTTCTGGCTCTTCGGAGGGCCTGTCACCCAGCTCCCAAATAAGAGGCTTATATGAATGCTCGGACTTGGCTTGTTTTCTAACCAGATTTCCTGAGTTAGCCCATCTACTTTTGCTTCTGGGCTTTTACATACCTTTCTTTCCTTCTTCCTGTGTGGCTTGCTGTGTAGCAGGTTGGTTGGCCCCTGATGACCTCTCCCTAGATCTCTTCCCAGGTTCCTCCTAATTCTCTCTGCCTGCTCACCCCGCCTTTCCTTTCTCCTGCCTAACTATTGCCATTTAGCTCTTTATCAGACCAATCGGGTGTTTTAGGCAAAGTAACACAGCTTCAGAGTTAAACATGCAACAACACATCTTTGCATCATTTAAACAAATTCTACAACATGAAAGAATGTAACACAAACTAATCTACAACACAAGGATTTCCCCTTGCTTCCCAAATCTGAAGCTGTCAGCAGGTCATGGACAGAAACAACTTAAGCCAACTGGCTTCACATCTTTCTGGCCATCAACAGGGAGAGGACAGATGAATGGGACTTTGGAAAGAGTGCCCCAACATTCCTGTAAGCTTCCATTGTCCAAACTTCTGGTAGTTAGCAGATCTGTCTTTTGTTCTCCATACTAAGTTCAGACAGATAAGGCCTGGCCAGAAAGGAGGTCTGACTTCAGCTGCTGTCCTCGCCCTTGGCCACCTCTCCACCTATCTTTCACACTGTCACGATGGGGAGCTTGTCCTTCTGTACATGATTCTCTTTTTGGTTAATAAAACACTGTTCATCCAATGAGGCAGGAAGATAGGTGGGTCTAGGAGACAAGGATAACTCTGGGAGAGGTAGAGAGGGCCCACCAGAACAGTCACCATGTAGGCTGCCAAAGGAGTAACGGGTTTGGACTCTTCTCTGGAAAGACCACGTGGAAATTAATAGGAATGGGCTAGGTTAATTAAGACAGATGACGGGTGGCTTGGGCTTATTAGCTAACAGCTTTATAATACAGCATCTGTTTCTTTGGGGCTGAAGTGGAGGCAGGAAGTAGCCGGGACAAAGAACCTCATTACACTGTCAGGCTAGGCTAATCCAGGTAAAGAACAAAGTGTTGGGCAGATAATCCAGCCTCTTCATTGGCTTCTTGTGGGGTTGGCCTGTATTCTCAAAACACTGATAATTCTGTGAAGGTGTTCTCTCGGGTATTCTGCCAGGGGTGATGTGTAGAGAGATGGGGTTTCCCCACAAGGATCCTGAGCTTGCTGCTTAAGGAACTGAGAACCTATGTGGAAGGCTACTAGGTCCTGCTTTGGGTTAAGGTAGAATGAGATCCTTGTTCTCACTAAAATGACATTGGAAATCCTCAGGCAATGAACGTTCTAGACTATCCCTATGAAGCCACTGGGCATCTGCCTTTTTCCTGTGACTTTGCTGATTCAGTGTCTGCTCTGAGTACATGCCAGTGACCAACTGTCTGGCATTTTTCCCGGTTTGATATTACCCTCCTAGTGATTGTATGAATTCACTGGTGTTAGAGCTTGCACCCCTTCTACTTGCATTCCCCACCTTCTGACTTTTAAAACCCTCACCTGTTTGAGCTCAACCTCAAAAGCGCACAGTTCATTAAGAAAGGGCCAACTTTCCTGTTAGCTGCTCTTGAAGGAAAGCTAAAATTCTCCACTAAAAGGAAATTTTCCTGTCTTCACATGACTTGATCACAAACATTGACACATTCATGGGACAGGAATGCTATGATGGGAGTGACTACTTCTCAGGCATCTAGTTTCTAACCTTTGATACTCAGAATGACACTATTCCTGAAATGTCTGGCTGAGGCATATTCAGGGGACCCTGGAAGAATTGAGGACATCTCCTGAGGTTCTCTAGTACCCAGATAACCAAGATCAAACATACAGTAGCCTTAGAGTAAGGACAGTTTTGAACTCTGCCCTTAAGTCAAGATGAATCAGAGCCATCTCTGTGGGTCCCAACAAGTGGGTAGGTAGGACCCTCTACACAGTGAGTATACCATTGTTCTCAGTTGTGTTCATACTGTATTTGTCTGGTGTTCTTGTCCAAGCAGATATCTGACCGCTGAGATGCCTGGTACACTGGGGAATTTGAACTCTGACCCAGACTCAAACTCTCGGGTTCCCATGGACTCCCCTCTTCCTGAGATCCCCATTTTCCACGGGGTGGAGCAAAAACCAAGACCCATGACAGACATTAAATTTGAGACTTCAATGTTCTGAAGTCATGTGATTATAGGTTTTATCAGAATGAGCCATGAGACAAGGCTGGATTGAATTGTCCTGTGTGGTGTTCTATTTCCGTGTGTTTTTTTTAACCAGTTCTTGGTGTGTCCCTAGAGACAGCTGGCCAATAGTGAGGCTGGGCAAGCTCCCCATGGAAGAAATCCAGAAGGGGGTGGCTTTCTTCCATCTTGATCAACTGATAATGGACAAAACCTTGGCTCTACATGTCCTTGTTTTTTGAAGGTCTGCACTAAGGACTGTTTCTCATTAGGAGGTACAATCTAGGAGTGCCTTTCTCTAATTGTTAGGCACTCAAAGAGATGCTTGGGCAAATAACGGTCAGCTTGCCAAGTTAGAAGGAACCAGCCAGTAGACACAACCTAAGACTTGGATACATATCTGCCCTGAACAAATATTGAAGAGTTCATTCTTTTGTCCTAGCTTGTTTCTGTCATGACAAAACATTGACTAAAATTGGTGGGGAGGGAAGGGTTTCATAGTACAAGCCACAGGAGGGAATCGGCAGAAACCATCAGTCTGGCTTTCTTGCATCAATCAAGAAAATACCTCACAGCCAACCTGATAGAAGTGATGTCTCCATGAGGGTCCCCTCTCTGCGCTGTCAGGCTGACAATCAAGACTAACCATCACATGGCTTTGAGCTGGAGTCAGTTCGCCTTAGACAAATGAATAAAACATGGATTAAACTCATAGCAGGAAACTATTGCTTGAAGACCTTTGGCATGACATAGTAGCCAGGTAGCTTCAGAGCTCTGCTTATCTAAGTTTTCCTTACAAGAAGGAAAAACATTTAAAAGAACCGAAAGTTTGCTTATTTCCATGGTGAGAAACCATTGAGCTTGTTCTGAACTTTTGAAGTGTGCCAACTATAGTAGATGGTCGGTCTGTCTTTGAGGGGGGGACAAAAGGCACATTGTAGTGAAGTGTCCTAAATCCTCAACAGATCACAGCTCTTAAACTAAGATGGAAGCCTGAGTCTGGGCATCTCAATCTTGTTTCCTTGCGATGTATTGGATCCTTTGCCGCTGAAGCAAGCCTACTGCTGCATCAGTGAATTTAAAACTGGGAAAAGATGCCAGATCAGGTGTATAGCCTTTGTATAGCCTTTAGGCGTCAATGACAAGATGGTTGGTTAGAGAAAGCTCCTCACCCTACTACCAAGAAAGTCAGAAAATCTGCATATGGCGAAGGATCGTTGACAATATCCTTCCCCCTTTTTTTAACATGCTTTTCTGGCTTATCGTGTATAACTTGAATTCAGCATGAATTTCTCTTTTAAAGGTCTCTGAAATAGAATTTTCAATGTATACAAAAGTAAAATAGACTTAAGAGGAACTTGTGAAACTTTAATTGATCAAGAACAATGCCTTAAAGATCCTGCTATTTGACAGCTGCTAATGTTTCAGTCTGTTCGCAGCATAGAGCAGAACAAACCATTTTTCTGTGTTCTATGCTTTTAATCAGGAGTTGTGCTATAGTTTGTCACACTGTCCTAGAATCTGTCTCTTCACCATGGTTCTTTTCAACATCTGATTATTTAAAACATGGTCTATACTTAAAGCCGTAGGGCTTAAACAGGGTGAAAATGGGGCTTATACATAGGAACCAGGAGCTGCTTTCTCACTTCAGTGATGTGGAAGATTACTGTTTAAATCCATGCTCTCAGGGGAGCTCAGTAAAGGCTAGACAACATTGATGCATGTTTAGGCAACAACCCATGGACTGACACTAATAAACAACTGATGTCAAATCTACCTGGTTGCTAATGATAGGTCCAGGCTGAAGAAACTTGTACTCCCCAGCATCTTGAAATTGGCCCAAATGGCCGCAAGTGCTTGAGTCACCAAGCCATCGTAGAAGATGGAGATGGTGCCTTCCATGTTATGGGAAGAGGGCCATGGGAATCTGTTTAGGGGACCCAGGGAGCTGTCCCAACACCTTCAGAATTCTATCTGCCTCTTGCACACTGGTATAGACACTTGTTTGTCCAAATAACTGAATAGTGAGTTTCCCAATGTGAACCTTGCTGTCGCCGCCCCCTCCTCCCAACCCACTCAACTCAATAGCTCTCTTGAACCTCACTGACTTCCATTTGCCACCATGGTCTTTAAGCCATCATGACAGCTTGCCAACGCCACCATGGTCCTCCTGAGCTTCACTCCTCTCCACGGACCACCAGTAGTGCCTGTGAGGTAACTAGTGTCTTAAATTCTAACTCCAACCCCAAGTATTGACCAGCATGATCCAGTGGCACAAAAGAATAAACCAGAATAACTTAGTCAAGCCCTGATGTTGTGTACATGCAAATGGCCATTCGCTCCCCCACACGAGCAATGCCATTGTGCATTTGGTCTTCATTGCCCAAATGAGTTTATCCTAGGTTGAGCCAGAAGGATCAAGCTGAGAATAAGTCACAATGGTGGCCCCAGTCTATCTCCCTATTGTTGGGAGCATAGCATGAAGGATATCCACCTCTGGATATCCAGAAAAACCAGGAATGGTTAAAGTAGTACAGGTAGTGAATCTCTAGAACCCACCTTGGAGGAAATGACATATACCGGCAATTAAGTTTCAATGTAACAATTTCCAGGGCCTGAAGCATGATTACATCAGAACCCTCTCTTCAAATACATTAGGGATAAACAGCCTGATTCAGGTTGAAGTCAATCCATTATCTCTTCACATGGTCTGCGTCCCTGAATGATACCTGCAGGGACCACCTCACCCTATGATTTTGTAGGGGAGGTGTGGCAAATGGAGGTGTGCCATTACCTTGTCTCCATTCAGAACACAGAAAGAGCCTGTCATGTCAGGTACCCACAGAACCTTGTATATCCATCTTCGAATATCAATCTGTCCACATGCACAGTCAAATCAAAACACATCAGAAACCATAATTAAGCAAAAGACCAGTAAGATGTTTCTTAAATGCCCAATATCGGACAAATCTCCAAAGATACCTTTCAGTATGTCTTGGTGTTCGCCATCTGCTGCAAGCCATGGAGCCTGCCTTTAATGGGACATGTATACCCAGAAAAGACTTCTTTGGAGAAAACTAATTTTCTTTTACAAGCAGTTGTCAGCTAGGGATGAGAGCTTGTGGTCACTTGCCCCTCAACACTGGGACTCCATCTGACTTGAACCTGTACAGACCCTGTGAATGCTGCCACAGTCTTAGTTCATATGCTGTGTCTGGAAGACACTGCCTCCTTGTTTATCCATCCTGGATGGATCTTACTTGCATTATCCTCCTCAACATAGTCTGAGGCCTGAGTGTTCCAAGGACTCCTCGCCAGAGGAAATCTTGACACAGCTTACTAGGTTGTACTCTTAAGATTTTTCTAAAAGTTTCTCTTAGAAAACGTTCCAAACTTGCATTCATTTGGCTTGACTTGAGGTCACCACACTTAATGGAGTTTTTAACATTTTTTCCTTTATTTTATAGACTGACCAGTTTATCCTATTTCCTTCCTGCTACTCCTGTCTACACACTTCCCCATCCGCTCACTCCATTCAGAAGGGGGCAGCCTTCCATGAGCTTGAACACATCAAGTTGGGTAGGACAAAGCTCCTCCCTCTGTATTAAAGGATGAGCAAGGTAACCCAGCATGGGGAACAGGTTCCCAAAAGCCAGCTAAATGCCAGGGATGGGTCCTGATCTCACTGCTAGGAGCCTTACAGACTAAGCAAATGCAGAGGGCTTAGGGAGCTTACGTGGGACTGACCTATGTTGGCCCAGAGTCCATGTGCTCCCACGAGCTCAGGTCAGCTGTCTGTGGGTTCCTCAGTAACTGACCTTGACCACCACTGGCTCATACAATCCCTCCTCCCTTTCTTCAGAAAGCCTCCCAGAACTTGGCCCAGTGTCTGGCTATGAATCTCTATCTGCTTCCACTACTGGATAAGGGCTCTAACAATTAAGGCAGACAGCAATCTAATTACAGTAGATGGCTAGTTCAGGCACCCCTCTCCACTTTTGCCAGTCTTGTCAGGGGTCATCCTTGTGAATTTCTGGGAGTTTCCATGGCACCAGGTTTCTCCCTAACCCAAAATACCCCCCCATCAAGATGTATTTCCCCGCCCTGCTTCATCCTGCCCCGAACAGCCTCCTGCACCCAACCCACCAAACCTGCTCCCTCAAGTTCCCCCTCCCCCCTCCAACTTGGGCTTTTGCTTGCACACAGAGGTAAGTGAAGGTAGCATGATGCTTGGGTCCCATCCACTGGCTGGAAGGGATTCCAGGCTCTACCTATGGCTTCTACTTATGGTTTGTGGAAACCAAGCCAAGGTCAGTTTAAATCATCCTCTGCCGTCTCCAGTGTAGAGTACCCAGGTACTAGCAAGCAGCTGCAAATAAGACACTGAAAATGGGAGCTGCAGGTACATAGGAGGTATAATAGTTGAGAGCCCATAGGACTACTTCTGTTCAAGGCCTTAGCTGAAGTCAGCTTGTATGGGAAAGATACAAGAAATATATGGGACATGATAATCTAGATGTACTGGCTTGGCTTTATGTGCCAACTTTTGACACAAGCTAGAGTCATCAGGGAGGAAGGAAGCCTCAGTTCAGAAAATACAGCCAGATCTCCTGGAGGCAAGGCATTTTTCTCAATTAGTGATCAATGGAAAAAGGCCTAGTCCGTGGTGGGTGGTGTCATCCCTGGGCTGCTGGTCCTGGGTTCTACATAAGAGCAAGCTGAGCAAGCCAATGAGCAGCACCCCCTCCATGAACTCTGCATCAGCTCCTGCCTCCAGGATCCCAGCCCTGCTTCAGTCCCTGTGCCTTCAATAATGAACTGATCTGGAAGAGGTAAGGCAAACCCTTTCCTCCCCAACTTTTTGGCCATGTTTTCTTTCACAGCAATAGAAACCCTAAGCCAAGATACTAGGTCACCTAGGAATCTGCAGAAGTGACAGATGGGCTTCAAGGAGTCTTGGGCTGCCCGGCAGGGAGCTCTGCACAGCTTGTTTCCTCCCAGAAGTCAGGGTCTCTGCCTATGTTGGCCTTGCTCTGTCTTAGTGTTTTATCAAAAATAGTAACCCTATGACCAAAGCAACTTGATGATAAAGGGTTTATTTGTCTTCCATATCACAGCTGGTCGTTGAAGGGAAGTCAGGACAGGAACTCAAACAGGGGGACAGGTTTCTGGAGGCTAGAGCTGATAGAGGTCATGGAGAGTGCTGCTTATTGGCTTGCTCAGATGCTGTCTTATAGACCCCAGGACCACCAGCCCAGGGATGGCTCCATCTACAGTGAGCTGGGCCGTCCTTTATCAATCACTAAGAAAATGCAGCCCCTCTGGAAATATTGGCGGTTCCTTAGAACTGGAAAATTACCTTGGGGGGGAGCTCATGGACTCCCCCAGACTGATAACTGGGAAACAAGTCGGTGAAGAGGCCTGGGAAATCTATGGTGCCTCTGGTAGTGAGGGGATCCGCATTTATCCCTAGCACACGAATGGACTTTAGGAGTCCATTCCACATAGAGGGATACTTTCAGCCTAGACACACGGGGTGGGGGGGAGAGAAATACTAGATGAATGGAGTTGGAGGTGCCGGGGGGGAATAGGATGGGGGCAATGTGGAAGCCTAGTGCAGTAGAAACTTCCCTGGAATCTGAGGATGTGACCCTACTGAAGTCTAGTAATAGGGGATATGGAGCCTGAAGACAAGGCTTCCAGTAGTGAGTGGGACTTCAAACCCCAGCCCCAACTCTAGCTACAATTCTCCCTGCCTACAAGCGCTGCTGAGGGTAATGGTGGGTGTAGGACCTGTGGGAGTGGCCAACCAAAGACTGGTCCAGCTTGAGGCCCATTCCTGACACTGCCTAGAGCACCAGGACCCTACAGGCTGGATTGCCCAGAGACCTAGGGTAGAACCAAATGACTGGCCAAAATAAGTGAATGAAATGATTCCTAATCTTATACTCAGACTTTGAGCCTAGCTCAATTGTCATAGAGGCTTCATCCAGCAATTGATGGGAGCCGATGCAGAGAGATCCACGGCCAAACACTAGGTGGAGCTTGGGGAACCCTGCAATACCAATGGGGGGGGGGGAGGAAAGAATCATAGGAGCCAGAGGCATAGAGGACACCAGAACACCCTGATGGGGAATGTTCTTTGTATTTTATTTGTCTTATTGGTTGAAGAATAAAACATTAACTGGCCAGGTGGGATGATAGGACTAGGAGACAAGGATTCTGGGAAGTATAGGCAGAGAGGAGTTGCCATGTGATCCCAGAAAGTGACATATCTAGGTAGAAACTGCCACTAGCTAACAGACAGGCAGGAAGTGATATATAGTTGGGAAGAATCGGAATATAAACAGGAACAAGGAATTGCTCTTCTCCAGAGATGCTGAGCAGTCAGGCTGTAGCAGGCAAAGGAGTTGCAGGTCCGGCTTTCTCCAGTAAGACAAGGCCACGTGGAAATAATAGATTTATTAGAAATGGGTTAATTAGGGATAAGAGACCTTAGCCAAAGGCTAACAGCCTTTATTACTAATACAGCATCTATGTTTGGGGCAGAGAAGGGTTGGCAGGACCTGCAGGGACAGAAAACTCACATTACACCACCCACAGAATCAACTAAGCAGGACCCATAGGGCCTCAGAGACTGAAGTGACAATGACACACCCTCTGTGGGTCTGATAGGGCTTCTGAACATATGCTATGGTTGTGTAGCTTGGTGCTCTTGAGCTCCTAACAGGAGAGTGGGAGGTTGTCTCTTGTCTGCTTTTGTGGGACCGTCTTCATCCTAAGGGGTTGCCTCATCCAGTCTTGACATGCCGTTTGTGCCAAGCCTTATTGTAACTTGTTAATGCTGTGTTCAGTTTGTTTCCCTGGGAGGCCCACTCTTTCTGGAACTGAAACTGAGGAGTGGTTCCAGTGGGGGAAGGAGTGGTGCTGGGAGGAGGGATGGACTGTAAGGAGGGAAAACTGTGGCTGGGAGCAGTGGGAGAAAGGTTCTACAAGCTTGACCTTGTGTAGGTAACTTCTCCATTGAGGCTCCCTCTTGGATGCCTCTAGCATTTGTTGGCATAAAATTGGCTAGCACATGGTCTCTGAACAAATGCAGTTCAAATATCTGTTATACATGGTGATGGATTGCATACCCCACTTCCTGATAGAAATCCTTATTGGATGGATAGAATTCTTGCATCTCTGACCTGACCCAGACTTGGAAGGGCTAAAATTCTTGAGTTAGTCTTGAGGACAATGCAGAAGGTAGTGGGACAAGGGAGGATATAGTGAAATCCAGGCCAGCCAGGACTTTGACCCCGTCTTAGGTCTGTATGGTAGACACTCCTGGAGATGGTCAAGGTGAAAGTCACCCTTAACCCTGAACCCTAGGAGAGATCTAACCAAGCTTTCTATTGTGTGACATTTTCAAAACACTGATCTGAAATGTTGAACATGCTTAAAGATGAATAAGTCCTTTTCGGTGACTGTTTCATCCTGGGACAGAAACGGCTGGTCCTGAACATGAGAATCCCATGAGGGAAATTGGGGCTTCCTTGAGTATAAACATGGCCAGGTTATGTCAACACAGGAAATGCAGATTGCTGTTTTGGTAAACAACTTTCCATAGTAACATCTTCCTCCTTGTAGCCAATGTGCTTTCTCCTGTAAGCACAGGGTGTGGGGACCAAGCCAGAGGATGACCCATCTGGAAGCATGGTCACTTTTTGGATCAATGAACTCACTTCCTGAGGCCATTGCAACCACCTATGAAGCTCTTGTCAAACTTAAGACTGTTTTAAGTTCATGACCCCATAAACTATGCCATCCTGAAAGAGTAACATTCATGTGTACCCCCCAAAAAACAAAACCAAAAAGCTATGCACCTTATTTTCATGTCTAAAAGACTAGAAGTTGAGCCATGAATGACCAGCTTGGATAGAGAGGACCACCAAAGCTACATAATGTTGGAGCAAGAACAAATTTAGGGGTATTAAGGTTTGAGCCCAGAGCACAATTTTTTTAAATCCTAAGTTGGCCATGATAGTTGGAAGTTTCAAAAACTCTATCCATCCCCAAGACAGTTGTCTTCACTAGGAAAGGGAAGATAAACCTACACATAACTTGGATGTGGTAGCCACTGATGCCTGCAACTCTAGCACTTGGAGTTCAAGTCTCTGCTGCCTGGTAAGCCCCTGTCTCAAATGAACAAACCTTGTTCATTAAAAAGTGAAATGAAAAGCAAAATGTGTTCCAAATCCATGAAAAATTAAATGAACCAAACCCTAACCCTAGTTGACTAAGTATGTGCATATCCTGGTCCACTGCATATGAGGTCATCTTGTTTACCTCTAGTTGGCAGCATGAACCTTGGAAGAGTGGGACCTAAAAATGAGGCTGACCAAAGTCTCATGCAATAGACAACTCCATTCAGAGCATCAGATGATCTTAGGCAGGCTCCCTGTGCTGTCCAAGAAAACTTGCTTAGTTGTGAGCCTCGAAGGAAGTCCTTACACAGGGCTGCAAGCTCCTGCTTTGAATTCCTGCCTTTGCTTTTCTTCATGAACTGTCTGTAACCTTGCGAGCCCAATAGACCCTTTCCTTTAAAGTTGCTTTTGTAATCTCCGTATTTATCACTTTTTCTCTCCCAGGGTAAGGTGACTTAACAGTGGAAAGCAGAAGGACACAAGAATTTCTCGGCTTCTGCCCCAGATAGATGAGCTTGTCTTTTCTCCCACCCACCTACCCAGCAACGCCTCCTGCTTAAGTCTCTTTCAAGAAGACAGCGACCCTCCCACCTGCTGCATGAGGGCCGGAGCATCTGTCATGAGGTTCTTGACCCAGCCTCCTCTGTTTCCCAGATACCCAACTCGGGTCTCAATCCACTACATCTGTTGGTGAGGTCATAAATCAGAGGCGGCTGCAGCCCAGGGTCAGGTCTGGTCAGCTTGCTGATGGAATTAGAGTAACGAATGGAGAATGGGTGTTTATATTAGCTTTGGCTCTGAGTCCAAAAAGGAAGAATGCTGGCATTCAAAGACTTGATCGACTTCAGCACCAACACATCCTGGGTCAGCAATTAAAGCCTAAAGATCCTTCAGGAGGACCTCCCTGGAACTGTGTGGGTCGCCTGAGCAGCCCTGCCTTCATGTGTGGAAGGTAGGTGCTGAACTGGGTACGTGACCTGCAACTGGACATGTTGGATGCATCTTGGTACCCACTCCCTTGGTAGGCACTCCATAGTGCCAAGGCCCCTTCTGTAAAGCACTGGCAATGCTGACCCTTGAGAAATGCATCTGCCCCTGTTTGCATTTGCTGCTGCTGAGTCATCATGCAAGTCATTGCTGAGTGCTTTTCAGGGTGTGGGTGAGTGGTGCCAGGGGTCTGATAATGGTGGTTGAGTCCGGGCAAGGGGACAATGCTCAAGCCTGTAACCCAGGTCAGAAGGTTTCCACACACCTCACATGGGTGTTGTAGAGCAAAGGAGGCGATTACCAAGTGGTGGTGTAGCGAGTGGAATGGCCAGGCTGGCTAAGGTCTTGGTGACAGCTAGATAGCTGTCTGCAGCTGAACAAGGAGGGAAAGGCTTGTGGCTTCAGTCAGATCTGGAGACCTAGAAAGGCAAGTGGGGGGGAGGGCGCTTCCTGGAGGAGGTGGCCTCTGAGTTGAGGAATAATCACTCATCAGACCTTGCTGAGGTGAACTCTTGGAGTCAGGAGGAAGTGTTCAAATGCGAGGTGTCTAGGATGTGTACCCAAGTGAGATTGGGTCCCAAGCTCGGGTTCTTTCTCTGCATTCCAATGTATCACTATAGGTCCCTTGATGCCCCAAGTAGACATCCTGGGGACAGCAGAGTAGCCTTGCTTTCCATCTCCGGCTGGGTCCAGGCCAGATGGAATGACTTAGGGACCACGTGTTGACCTCGCCTACTTCCCCAGCAGAGGCCCCTCCTCGAGGTCACTCCTCCTCGGCTCCCCTTGAAGTCACACCTTTCCCGGCAGGATTTTCCTTTATTGCAGCCTCTCCTGCTCTGATTGTTCTCAGAACCAAGCCTTTTGATGGTTTTTATTGTCCCTAAACTCACACCAGGCTCCAATAACTTCAGAGCAGGTAGAAAGGCAGGAGTGGGGAGGACTGAGGAGAGAGCAGCCCTGGGATCAAGGCAGGAGCCTGCAACTTCTAAATCTAAGGGACCAGACTTGGTTCTAAAGGCTTCCAGGTGTGTTTGGGTGAAGTGGGGGGGGCGGCATCCTTCAATCTCTGGCTCAGGACATCCGGGCTAAGTGGATGAAGGCGGCCCCCACTTCCAAGTGCCCCCAAGCCCACCTGCTTCAGTTGCATGGAAATGGTTGGTCCAGAGTTCAGCATATTCCTGTCTGGGTCTGTGTGACTTCTAAGATGCCCATTGATAAGGCTTTATATTGGTTCTGTACACAGCAACTCATCCTGAGACTGGTTAGGCCAATTTATTGGCTGTCTGCTTCCCAAAGACCTTAACCTATGAGAACATTTCCTCACCTCCTGTCTCATGTCTCTGCCCTCTCCTGCTCCCTAGGATGGCTCACAGTTGAGTAGCTACCACAGAGGGGACCTCCATGAGCGCCAGGGATTTATCCTGCCGGGAGCTTTCATGTGTCTCCCCAGAAGATGGGCTATCACCCAAGGACATGAAGATAGTCTTCACCCCTTGTGTGTCTTGGAGAATGCTGCAGAGGTGTTAACTCAGTGGTTAAGAGTACCTGCTGCTCTTGGCAGAAGTCCTGGATTTGGTTCCCAGCACCCATGACATGTAGCTTAGTCACCTGTAACTCCAGTTCCTGGGATCCAATGCCTCCCTCACCTCTAAATCGTGTATGCACACACATGTGCAGTGCACTCAAACATTTAGATGGTTCCAAGAAATCTTAGAGGGGTAGGCTGTTCTCCAGCTATGAAACGAGGCTCTTGAATGACTCAAACTTAATTTTGAAAATCCAAGATTAGAATAATTTGTTTACAACTCTATTTTGTCTGTGGTATGTGTTCACGTGTGCGAGTCCACATATATACACATGTGTGAAGTTCAGAGTTCACCATTGGACATCCCTTTGAGACACTCCCTGCATCCTGTGGCACTTGTCCATTCAGCTAGGCTGTCTGGCAGTGATCTCCAGGGACACTTGCAACTGTCTCCCACCATTGGGTTTACAAATGCACACTACCTGCAACTTGTCCCAGGCCTATCACACTGGCAGCCTCTACCTCAAAGCACCTGAACCTTAGCATGAAGGTTTACTGACCACAAGAGCATACCAGAATAAAATCCAGCAGCATCTTAAGCTTGCAACTCTGGTGCAGAATTGGGCGAGGTGGTCCTCTCTGGATGCACGATGATTAAACACCACTCATCCCCTTGAAGCATTAGGCTTATTCCTAGGCTCCCTTGGGAGGACCCCCCCAGTCTTACAACACTTATGCTACTAAAAACCAAAAACACTAAAGGGCTGTTATGGGCTCAAGTGGTAAAGGGGGAGAGCTGGTTGGGGGGAGGATAGGGGAGACTCACTCGAATGGGGTCCCAGGAACATGCCAGCTTGTGCTAGATCCTCTCTGAACCTTCAGTGACTGAGTACATGCTGTGAGTCAGTCTCCTAGCTTAGAGGCACTATGTGGCCGTTCAGCCACGTTGCCTTATTGGCTACTTTGAAGGAATCGGTGCAAGGTGACCTGCCTGCCACTGAGTATGCTTCCCCTAGCCAGAGTGTTCTTCATGCCTGCTTGAAACCATAACCCTTCAGATGAAGTGACAATAAGAGACAACTGGAGTGTGGAGACATTGCTCTGTCTAACCAGCCCCCTTGGCTTTTCTGCAAAGATTGGAGAAGCAGCTAATATTTGTGTGCACATGGAAGGCCACAGGAAGCTTTGGGGTGCCCTGTCCCCACTTCTCCCTTGAGACAGTCTCACTGAACCTGAAACTGTCCCCAGTGACCCTCTTTTCTCCAACCCCTGCTGTAGGTGACAGATACAGTCGTGCAAAGCTTTGTACTGTATAAGTGCTTCGGATTCCATCTCGGTTCAGGCGTTGACAGCACTTGTGCAAGCATGAGGACCCATCTCCCAAGCCCAACTGAAGTTTTCCGTCCTTTGACTAACATCTCAGCAAACACCTCTGCTCCCTGGTAGCCGCCATTCCATCCCACATTCATAAGATCTTTCCTTAAAATTGTGATCCTCCTCCCACCTCTACCCCCTTCTTAATCTTTGTGGTAATTGATAGGGACAAAAGTGAATAATTTACCTGGCTGGTATCTGTACCTTTGTGAAGGCTAGCTGGGATTTGTGTCCATAGCTAAATCTGTTAATATTACCCATGCCCTTGAATGGCCACATACCTATGCACACAGATAGGCAACACTAACTGGATTCATGAGGTTATTGATAACTTTAAAAAGTAATGAAGTTGGATGGAAAATGGAGGCACTAGCAGGAGTTGGAGGGAGGCTGTGTTGGACAGACTGTTCTGTAAAGAAACAAAACTAAAAGAGGTTAGGTCTCCTATACCATTTCTAAAAACAATGGCCGTCTCTTTACTATTTCTATAACAAAATGAGTCTAGGGGCTTAAGTCCTTGCATTGTTTTACTGTTAGTCAGGTTGGTCCTATCTGTTCAGCTTCTGAGGGCCCTCACGGTCATCATAGTACACAAGATTGTATCATGGCAGAAACCTGTGTGAGGGAGAGGTCACATGGCCTGACAGGAAGCTGAGTTCAAGGTTAGAGGAGCACTTTTTGTTATAGCCATCCACTCTCACAGACTGTTCTCCTGAGTTTAGCAAGGTCATGCTCACAATGACCTGCCTTCCCCTAGACCCCTCTATGCCCCTTCAAGGTCCCACTTACATCTCCACATTGCCTCATAAGGATTACCATATGAGGACCAAGCTTCAGCCAATGGATGCTGGATGCAGCAGGGAAAAAGACCATGTTACCACTGTGAGCTGAATTGGCTGAGCAGCTCTGATCTCAGCTGGGCTCACGCATGCACCCCTGTTCCGTGGGGAGAAGGGAGTCACACATGTGGGAACTGGTTTGTGTCTAAGACACTCTTGTCAGAGTTGTGGGGAAGCTGTATTGACCTGTCGTTTTCCAGGAGGGATAGCTTGGGTTCCTTCCCAAGCTGACATCACATTTTCTATAACTCAAATAAGGACTGCCAAGGTATCCTAGTAAACCATGGTACCCCAGGAAGGCTTTCCCTTTTAGGGATTGAGACATCGCCCCCATGGCTGCTGTAAGTCTGGGGTGCTGGTGACCCATGGACCTGCTGCTCTCCAGGAGCTTCTTCTACAGGGCCACTCCACTCAATGATGTGTCTATGTAGCATGCAGTCCATCTCTCCATGCTCCAAGGTGGGACATCCTTCAAAGCCTATCTCAGTGTCAAAGCCCCCCCCAACAGGGTCTGTAAAGGATCCTGTGACCTATAGAGAATGACACAAGCGTGTCTCTGTCCTGTTGTTGTGACCAAGAAAATGCCTGACAAAGGCAACTTGAAGAGCAGTGTATTTGACTCAGTTTGAGGCAACATGGGTCATCCTGGCAGAGAAGGCATTTTGACACCGGAGATAGAAGTGACTGGTCAGTTTACTTCGGTCAGGAAGCAGAGAGCAGAGACGTGGGGCTGCCCTATGAAATCTTGGAGTTCCTCCCGAAGTGATCCACTTCCTTCAGCTGGATTCCACTGCCTGTAGACTCCACAGCCTTCTGAATTCGCAACATTGGCTGGAGTTATGTGAGTCTACAGAGGATGTTTCACCCTCAAAAAGATATTTTTGTGCAGCAATACTGAAGTTTCAGTTATATCTATTTCTGTGTGCATGCCCACATATAAATACCTCACTTTATGTGTGGAAGTCACATGACACCTTAAGGACTCTTCTCTCCTCTTACTTTGTGGGTCCTGGGAATCAAAACTCAGCTCAGCAGGTAAAGGGAGCTTGCTGCCAAGCCTGAAGATCTATCTTGCCAGCCCATATATCATATTTTGCAAATAGCAGTTTGGCATCAAAACACACACTTGGTGGGTCCAATGGGTCTGTCCACAGAGCCCTTTCTCCCCAGGTGGACTGATAGTCTTAAGAACACAGTTTAGAGTCTAGCTGCCTGCTAGGATTCTTAGAGCAGTCTGACAGACCCTCTCCTCCCCCACAGGAGACACCGTAGTCTTGGCAGGCTGAGAGATTTTCCACCACACGGAGTTGTTCAGTGTATGCAGGCAAGAGCTGATCTTAGCTTTCACCCCACCGCTGGGCTGTGGCTCTCACCTTGGTTTTTCGTAATCGCTTAGAAATGGTGGCCTCCCAACCAACTTCCCTTCTTGGGCAGCCGAGCCCTCTCTATCTCTTTGAAGATTACAGGGTTTTACCGTGCCTTTAAAGTGAATTTTCCCCCTGCATTTTATTATAATTAATGACCAGAAAACTCTTCTCTTTTCCTCCCTTTATCTCTTAAATATGTTTCTTTCCTCTTTAAAACTGCAGTATTTCTTTTAAAGCAGGATATAGATGTGCCTGTCCTGAGCAGGGCAGGCCTCGATTCATCTGTCAACTTGATTATGCAAAGCCTGCGTTCGGCTGGCATCTGAGGCAGATTTCAAAGCCCTGATTCACGTGAGCTTCCAGGCTGACAACCCAGAGAGAGCAAGAGTCTACAGGCGCCCAATCATCTGGTGCAGGCAGGGTCCCTCCACGGTCCTAAATGACTCAGGGGACTATGGTGTGTGCATGTGCGTGCTCTAACAACTAAGAAGACACATCTGCAATTGCTCAGGACTGGAAGTGCGAATCCATCATGAAAACATGTAAAGATGTAGGCAGAGACAGTTTTTGCAATAAGCCTTTGGGTGGCCTTTGCTCCTTGCTCTGAAATTTACCATTGTGTCTTCCATCCCCCCCCCCACACACACACATACTCAGCAAGACAATGTCCAGGTGACTGAAGTCTGAAACCCCAGGGCACAAATGCCAAGCAGTGGTTACAGTGGGTCTTTGGTGCTGAAGGGAGATCTGTCTTGGCTTGGTCCCTCTGTGACAGGGATAAAAGGATCCTTGATACTTACCACACAATAGCAGCAGGGTTGCAGACCCCACCTCTGAGTCACCACAGAGCTGCATTTGATGGGAGCACATAGACAAACTAGGGTTCCCAAAAGTTCCAGCCTAGGGCTTTTTCAGTCACTCCATGTTAAGTTCCTGTGCTTAGAACTGGGATGTGTTGGGACAGGAGAGCAGAAGATAACCAATGCAACACAAAACTGATAAAAAGCCAGTTTAATTGGCTGAGAATGTAGGCCACATGCCACCTGCCTGAGATTATACTGCCTGGTTTTGGATAAAATCTTACTGGAGAATACAGTTGTCCCCACCCCTCATTACTTCCTACAGAAACGAGTCAAATCTTATATCATGGGCAAGTGGACAAGCACAGGTTAAAGTCCCCGTGTGGTTACTGAGGATTAAACATTCCCTATACTGTCTGCACAATGCTGCCAGTAACCATTTTTGTTTCCAACTACTGAGTCCTGTTACGTAATCAGTAACTGTCAATCAAACCCCAAGTCAGACCCTCTTGCTCCAGCTCAATGACATTTCTCTAGTTTGATAATCACACTGTCTTATCTGTGCGTGGCCCACCCCTCTCAAATGTCCCCAAGCTCACCCAGCTGTTCCTAACACCCTACCTGTGTGCTGTCCTTCGGGGCATGCTTGCTGACACAGAGCCTGGTTCTAAGGGCTCAGAAAGAGTACTTGGGCAACAGGGTTTCTCCCACTGGTCTACCTCCAGTGAAATCAACCTCAGGCACACTCAAAATGGATATGGATACGCTGTGTAGCTGTTGCTGTAGACTCTGGAAATAACCTGGAGTACCCCCTGAGAGGGGATTGACACTGAAGATGACATAAATGCCCATGAAGAGGGTACATCAGCATTCTGCCAATGCATAAAATGAATGAGGCAGATAGG